AAGTGAGGCAAAGTGACGTCACCCCATTCAAAGTGAATGGGCAGAAGCGTTCCAAGATTTTTTAACGCTGCTGTGTGGACGGTCCGTTTAAGGGATAATGTGCAGCGACGCGGTCATTATGGGGAAAAGAACACCGACAGGCAGATCAGGAGCCCGACGCGAAGCGGAGGGATCTAGATCGGCATGAAGGTGTATACAGCCAAACTGTATACAGTTCAGCCAAACTGTATACAGTTCAATCGACCGGACTTCTTTCTGCAGATTTGAGCATCCTTAACAACGGTCAATAAATCCTTGACAGCCCTCTGTCTGTTCTGGATTAACAACGTGTCACGTGTTCTGAATTGACCAATCAGAATCGAGTATTCAACTAAGCCATGTAATAAGTAAGGGATAATGTGCAGCGACGCGGTCATTATGGGGAAAAGAACACCGACAGCGGAATTAGGCGGGGACCGAGGTCCGGAGACTCCACCTGCACACGAAGCCATCCTCATCAACTACTGCGTCACCCGGATACGAGTCACTGTCCAAACTACTCACAGACTGCACCGAGCGCTGACATTGGCGCCCGGTGACCATCAGATTTGACGACGCTGATTGGCTGAAATTATGTTTCGGCGGCATAGTTTACAGATAGCAGCAACAGACTCAGCTGCTAGTGGCTGCTACTGCACTGGTTGAGGGTGTCACTACCCGATCGGTCCACCTGCCCGATCTGTACTGCGCATGTGCGAGATGGTCCGCCATATTGGACAACTACACACGGCAACTCTACTAGGACACTTGACACAGTGGCTTTTGGCAAAGCAGAAAAAGAACCGAGAGAGATTATTGTTATTACAACGTGACTTCACTATTATTTAACAACTCTTTTTATTGGGTTCTTTTATTTGGGGTTAAGTACATTGTCAGAATAAGTGAGAAATGGATTTAACTTCTGTTAGACAGCTATCATACTGAATAAATATTTACTCTGAATGTATGCAAAAATGTATGGCATATAGCTGTCTAACAGAAGTTAAATCCATTTCTCACTTATTCTGACAATGTACTTAACCCCAAATAAAAGTTAAATAATAGTGAAGTCACGTTGTAATAACAATAACTCATCTCAATCAGATCTTTTTCTGCTTTGCCAAAAGCCACTGTGTCAAGTGTCCTATTAGAGTTGCCGTATGTAGTTGTCCACAATATGGCGGACCATCTCGCACATGCGCAGTACAGATCGGGCAGGTGGACCGATCGGGTAGTGACAGACATAGATATATATAAACATGGTTGTCTGTGATGTATTTTCCAACGGTTATAGCTCCTGTCTTGTCCCAGCAACACTACACGGTTTGCAGCTCCACCACATTTTTGGTTTATCTTCGGTGTCGCTTAAAATCTGCTTCCCATCGGACTAAAACCTCCATGTAATCTGAAGACAGATACTTGAAGTTATTTAAACCTTTTGCAAACTTTATGTTCTTTCTTGCTCTAGCCTTGCCAGTTACATTGTACATAACACATATATTATCATTATGCTAACTGGTTGTTCGTGTTAGACGATGTAGCTTTTTCATTTCTGAGTTATTGCTATATGTAAATAAGCCTGTTTGTAAATAATCCTCAGAGAAACAAAGAAAAAACACAATGTATGACGTTTTGTGCTGTGCTTCTTTTTTTTAAATTGCATTTATTCACAGTTCAGTTTGAAATGCTGTAGTGACTTGTATTGAACCACTTAAATATTTATAATTAATGCTACTGAAAAGATGCTATTAATGACCAGAAACACATTATCTACAGTTTTTATATCCCACATGCAGTTCACTGTAAAGCCACTTGGTGGAGGTGTTGGTTCACAAAACATGAACAGTTTTAAGAAAGAAAAAAAGAAAGACCAGTTCTGAGAATACAAATTCCTGGTACAGTTGTAGATGTTCAGGTTGATAAATAATATTTTCCACACTGAAGATTATGGAGGTATTGATCAGTCTTCTCATATTTTTAAGCCTTAATTTCTCCTTTCCCCCCCCCCCTCTAACATCACCAGAAGTCATAATTTAAGGGGTCATTTCTCGAAAAAATGTGCCCCCTGACCCCCCACATTGGTTGTCTTCTATATGTCAACAGCCCCACCAAAAAAAAAGTCCACCAGCCGCCACTGGTGCAATGGTGTACTCGGTATCCACATCCAGTAATAAATCGTAAGGCACAATGGTACACAGTATCCAAGCTCTTTAGGCACTGGTCGGAGGCATTTATGTATAGCAAATCACCATAATCTAATACAGGTAAAAACGTTGCAGATATCAAATGTTACCTTGTCTGAAAAGAGAAACAGGATTTATTTCTGTAAAAGAAACCTAATTTAATTTTTTGCTTTGAAACAACATTTTCGGTGTGTAACTTGAAAGACAAGTTCTGTTCAATAAGAAATCTCAGATATTTGTAAGTAGTGGGCGTGGGCAGTGTGCTATATACAAAAGTTGTGTCTCTGTATCACACCACTCACCCTGTGAAGTGCAGCCAGGTGGCCAGCACGAGCAGCGTGATCCAACTGACTGGAGACGACAAGGTGTGGGTGAATCTGTGGGGGCCGGGCAGAAACAATATCTTTGCAACTGAAGAACTGACGAAACTATTTTTGTTGGGTTTCGTTTGGGTTAATCGAACCATTAATAAAGTCTGGTCAGTGCAACTTCAGTCATATACCAGTGGATGAAGTGTGTAACATGAATGTTACCTTGTGCTTTCAATAAAAAATATCAATGCTTTACTAAATGTAGTTTTCATTTCATATCAATTAGAATATGATAATGTCACTAATTTACTCAAGTTTGGTTAAGCTTATTTGAGGTTGTTGTAGGCTACTTGTGTATTTCCATTTTATGCAACATTAAACTAGTACACCACTATGGCAGATATTGTTCTTATTAACTCCATTACAGTTGTCTGACATCATGACGTACATTGCAGGTTCAGATTATTAATAAAAAATATAAATCAACATATATCCGAGGATGTATACCCAGCAGTTTTTTTATTTTAACAACTAATACATTTAAGTTATAAACACATTAATCAACAATAGTTATAGATTTATTGCAACCAGAATTATGGAGATAATTTAGTGTTTTTGTTTGTTTGATTTGCACATTTGTACACAAGCTACCTCTCTTAGTATCTCGACAGCTTTCCACTTTCCAGAACAATAGTGCAAATATTTGATTTGATGATTTTGATTACTCTGCAAGAGTATACTGTACGTAGTTCTTTGTTACATCCAGATTTCATGTAAATAATGTTCTATATCGTAACGTATAATCTTAATCTTAATATCGTACTTAAAAAAAAAATGTGTTTATCTTCTTTAACTCTTTCTGATTCTGATTGTTAGTCCCAATTCCAAACCTCCCCCTACACCCTACCTATACACAGTTTTAATTTTGTTATTTTGCTGCTATGACGCTGGCTTTAACAGCCACTCCAATGACCAACAAACAAAACAAAAAAAAGGACCACAGGATTACATCTTATTCTTTTAAACTAACAGGGAAACGAGGGAGACGTAGCAAACATTACCAATCTATGCAGAATGTGTTGGATGTCAGCCGTCTGACTGTTTACTGCTGAACTACTGTACAGTAACACAAACCACTACACTGAGTCTGAGAATATAATTTAAAACAGGGAATATTGCAATATATTTACATATACTGGGAGATTACTTGTGCATGATACGCCAACGTTTTGTTAGCACTCAGTTAGCATAGCATTAGCTTTCTTACCTCTCTCCGGATGCCTCTACAGTTGTCATTAAACCTGTAGATCTGAAGGTGCTGAATCCCCCATTTGTAACCTTCACTTGGGCCTCCGAATAATTAATATTTTTAAATACATTTAATTGGCAGACAGGTGTAGACATAACTCCAAACACCAGAGAGGACTGACATCAGTAACAGTGATAAGTCCGCTCTTATCACTGTTACATTTAATATGAAAAATATACATTGTTCATATGGGAAGATTAACAATAATATGTGATGCCTTTTAGTCTACAAGTCTACTCTTTTTCTTATTGCACTGCACCTTTGCGGCTGTGACACCTGTAAATGTCCCAGTTGCGGGACAAATAAAGGATTTCTGATTCTGTTGGAACATCATTAAATTAATAGTACGTGATTAATGTACAATTACAGTATGTGCTTGCTGTTGTTATTCCAAAGGGAACATTCCCATGGCTAAATGCCATAAAAAACAGCCTCCGGGCTGAATGAATCGGTTCCAGACGTTCCGATAGCATGACCTACATTCTGGTTTAAAAAGACAACAATGTCAGGTATTTTCTTTTTATCCCATTAACCAGTTGTCACTGTAACTCACCCCATCTATGTCATGGTTTCATAACAACAGATAGATATTCAGTAGATGTTTTTCCTGTTCTGTAAAATGTTTTGTTTTCTACAAAGTATTTCAGCAAAAGTTAAAATTATTTAAATACCTGACCAACATTCTTGCTTTACAGTCAATGACAATGATGATTATGTTGAACCTGAAACACCCAACAACATTTTAGATAAATGATATTATATTATTTATTAAATGTACCAATTGTTATTCGTTTTAAACCAAATATATAATTATTTTATATTTTTAATATATCAATTGCTATTCTTCCAGAGTATGTTGCAGACCACTGGATGGAAGATGACTGTTATGGATATCAGTTCCTGAATGAACTCAACCCTGGTGTTATAAAGCGCTGCTCAGAGCTTCCCACAAACTTCCCGGTCACAGAGGAAATGGAGAAGCCGTTCCTGGAAGAGGGAAGCTCTCTGCAGAAGGAAATGGAGCTATGAGTGAAGATTAACTTTAAATGGATGGTAATCTTTGTTTCAGAATCACGATTTGTCCATTTACCATCCCTCTGTCATACTTCCTTGACTTATTACAATTCTGCGATACCTCTCGATGTCTTAAACACTTCTTTCTGATGTCTTTCCAGAAAGGCAACATGTTCCTTTATGACCAGAAGAAGATGGATGGAATTCCCCCTGCAGCCTATAATGGTGAACCTCTGCACGTGACTGCTGGTCTCTGTTTGCTCAACGTGAACCCAGAAAACAAACTGATGCCAATTGCAATACAGGTACTGTAAAATCAATTTAAAAGCCAGCATGTAATGTTATGGGTCTTTACCATGGTCAGTCTATGGAAAACCGTCTTTGAGGTATCGTAAAGGGAGGGTTAATCCATTTCTTATCAATTTCCAGTTGAATCAACAACCATCTGAGAAGAACCCCATCTTCCTGCCCAGTGATCCAGAAACGGACTGGCTGCTAGCCAAGATGTTCATTAAACATGCAGATTGCATGGATCACTAAACAGTCCATCACCTCATGAGAACTCACTGTCTGGCAGAGGTTTTCGCTCTTGCAGCTCTCCGCAGCTTCCCTGTGATTCACCCAATTTACAAGGTATAAGTACTCCACACAACAGAGGTAGTGCAGGTTTTTTGTATTCCCTTGTTCTGAAATAATGCTTATAATTGGTATTGATTGATTTTCAGGTATATTATGTCTATAATAGAGATGGTTGAAAGAAAAGCTGAGACAGGACATTTGTAAAATAAAAAGAGGAATGCTTGCAAACAAGTTTCCTTGATTAAACCCCATTACTTTGGAAGGTTGAATGCAAAGTATGTGACTATGCTGAGATTAACGTAACACAACATGTGAATTCCAAAGGAAACTACAGTACTCTAAGAAAGGCCCTTTTGAAACGCTTGCCAGATGCCAGAAGTGCAAACAGGTTGTGGCTGGGCTGAGAGGTATCCGTGAAGATGTTGCACACATCTAAAACACATCTTTTGAAGCATGAAACACAACTTTCATGTGTGTATTACATGTGTGTCTCACTGTTTTTGTATCTTTGATTGTACTTGAAGATCGTTTTGTTATTTGTCATTCACTGTTTTTTTGGTTACTTACTTTTCATAGATCATCTGTGGATATGGTTTTATGAACCATTATTTTTGCATGTATTGAAGATGTCAAACTTTTAATACAAACATTGTAATTGATTTCAGTTGTGTTTGCTTATAGGTTCCTTCAGTTACACTGATGATGTTCTGCCTGTTGTCTGCTGAATCAAGCATCTTACTTGGACTTTTATATTTGTTTCCTATGTCTGTTCAGCTGCTGTTTCCCCACTTCCGGCACACTCTTCACATAAACATTAGAGCCCGCCTACATTAGGACCTGATGGGGCTCTCACTAATGTAAGGCTTTTTAAAATTGATATATTTATTACAATTATAAATCAAATCAAATGCATACTACACCTTGCAGCTTAGATTAGACCGTTTTGGATGGTTTCTAATTCGATGTCAATAAACGTGTCTGATGGTATATGTGTATTTTTGATTTGTTAGAGTTCACTTGGATTTGATGGAGTAATTGAGCTCATGAGAAGGGATCTCTCTGAAATGACCTACAGCTCTCTCTGTCTGCCGGAAAACATCGCTGCACGAGGACTGGAGTCTATCCCCAACTTTTACTACAGAGATGATGGCCTGAAGCTGTGGAACATCATCCAAAGGTTTTACCTATTCATAAATATTGTGACTGTCCACAGTGATTCATTGTACAAACACCATTAGAGACTTTCTCAGGCACTCATATTATTAAAACTACAACTGTTTTGTGTATACCAGCTTTGTGAAGGCAGTAGTGGAGCACTAGTATCCCTCAGACTGTGAGGTGCATAGAGACACTGAGCTGCAGGACTGGATCAGTGAGGTCTTCACACATGGCTTCTTAGGAAACAAAGCATCAGGTATTTTTCCCATATTCTGAAGTCATTTGTAAATATAAAACATATTATAATAGTATATTTGAATGCACATAGTGATTGACAATATAAACCCATTATGTGGTTATGAACATATTGTGCTGCCAACAGGGTTTCCAGCAGCCTTTCGTACTGTCGAGGAAGTGGTCAAGTTCACAACCATGGTGGTCTTCACAACGACCGTTCAACATGCTGCCGTAAACAGTGGGCAGGTAAAGAGTTGGGGCATTAGAAAATGTACAGATGTAGCACTCCAGATAGGACTCCAGCTTACAGCTTCCTGCCTAAGACCTGCCTAAGACCAACGTCTGGGAATGTTAAGCCCTCCCACTATTTTCCAAGAGGGCATTGCCAGATTTTCAATTTCAGGATTTAACCAGGAGATGGCGCTTCATTCACAAATACAGAAAGACAACTTTTCATGGACTTTCAGTTGTGTTTTGAAGAGCATTTGAACACATCAATATTTTAGATCAAATAAAGTATATCTAATCTTGTAATTCAATAATATATAGTCTTTATATATTAAATAATCATAATAATAATGTAAATGTTTACATTACACTTCTTTATTTGTTATGCTCATACTTTTACCTTTACAATCGTTTGCTTTAATATGCAGTATATTTTTTGTTTGCTTCCTCCTGCTCCCTTTCGGACACATACTGTATGATTTATTATTATTATGAATATGAAGATATTATTAAGATAAGATAAGATAAGATGTTACTTTATCGATTGAACATTTTAGTTTAGAATGTGCTGTCCCACGGTAATTCAGAAGGCTCACAGGTCACATTCCGACCATTATTTAAAACAATAAGTGCTTTCACACTGTCTACAGTTTGATTTGTATAGAGGGAGCTGTGGCTGAATGGCCGGCGATTAGGTGTGGCGCATTTATCATTAGGTGATCAGAGCTGCCTGCCTGCCGGCAGATTTCATTTAAAAAACAGGTCTGATTTTAAGACTATTTCTGCGCTCATAAAGAATGATAAGAATAAGAATAGTGAGTGAGTTTATTTAAGGTAATTAGGTAGAAGCCCTTTTTTATCAGTAACGAATTTAGCAGTTGAACATAAAAGTCAACTAACTGAGTGTCACTTGCAATGACAGTGTTGTGTTTTTATTTTATGAGCCTTTTACATTAAAAATGGTTGTTGAATATATAAATATTATTATGAATATGGATAAATACTAGGCTATTTATTATAAACGTTAGTCCTTAACAACTATCACTGTGTATATCACCATTCTAAATAAATAAGTAATTAGATACCTACCATTACTGCGCTCAAGATAAAAGACCTTTGAAATGTCATATATGAGCTATCGTCCCGCTGTTTTTAGATAAGAATGAACTATTAACAATAGTATTGTAGTGCAGAGAGATAGGAGTCGGAGGCGGTGCATCGAAGGTGCAAAAGGTAACTTTATTGAGCAGCAGAAAAGCACATGTTGCTAGCTTACAGTCCGGGAAGCATACACGTCTCAAATATCCATACAAAAATATTTTGTTATTTTATTTTATTTTAAATAAAATGAAGGACATTATTGAAGTATTCGATGTTCTCGCGCCCAGGAGAGGAGCTTAGAATGAAGAGACTAATGGAGTCTCCGAAAAGGTTCAAATTGGTTGAGTTTAATTAAGTAACGTGGTTAAAGAACAAGCATGGGTAAGGAGAGACAAAGCCGGTGATGTCTTCAGGGTAGGCTGCAGCGAAGAAAAGAGAGCGAGCTGTCCTCTGTCATCCGTTTTTATCCACGTCTCGTTGTCTACCGCTGTGCAGATAGTGGGCCATCCTCCTCGGTCTTCGATGTTCGACATCGCGTAAAACAGAGGACTTCAACATTCTGTATTCCCTGCCTACTTCCTCAAGCCTTTTCTCCTCCTTATCTCTTTCATGACTTTCTATTTAATACCTTATAAACAGCTGTAATCGTTAGTTTAAAACATTGTTCGCGGCATGCTGACCGGATATGAAGGATTTTCAGAATAAAAGCTTGGCATTGAGACTTTGAGAACTTCCGGGTTTTTTCACAATAAAACAGCTTTTAAAACTGACGATATATTTTAGACTAATTATGCTATTAAACATTGATTTTAATTTCTAACAATCCCTCCTTTCACACCTTTTAAGGTGTGAACACAATACTGAAATTAATGAGTTCTTCATCTGTAAACATTGATTTTAAATTTCTAACAATCCCTCCTTTCACACCTTTTAAGGTGTGAACACAATACTGAAATTAATGAGTTCTTCATCTGAACTTTGCATAGTACATAACTCATATCAAAAACATACAATCAGAATGGAATGGTTTAAATAACCGTCATTAAAATACAAAAAATACAACAAATAAAAAAAATATTTTGGCTGGTCTTCAATCATAAAAGTTTTCTTTGTGCATAACTTCTAGTGTTAACATTCAATATCATGAATAGCACCACTTAGCTTGGTATCAGAACATTTCTTACTCCCTCTTTTCACAGAAATCCTTCTCATACTACATTCAGTGTTAAGGCACTTGTTTTTACAAAGTATAAAAGAAACAAACTTTTTTTTTAGAATAGTAAAAAGTAAATAAAAAATACACCATCTTGGAATAGTATAAAGTAATAAAGAATACACCATCTTGGAATAGTATAGTAAATTGCATTGATTCCCTTCATATTAGCATTGTAGCTGGTTCTTCCTTCAAATGATTTTATCATTTGAAGTATCACATCATTTGGACATTCTTTGAACAATCTCATCATTTATCATCCATATCATTTAACATCATTTACACACTGTTATCATTTTCATCAATATCTGTATATGGGTTGGGTCTTCTTGTTCTGCTAGCAATTGAAACTGTTCCCTTATGAGAAATGTACCCTCCCCCCTTTCATACTTTTTAAAGTACGGACTAATTACCTCCAGCATGTTCCCCTAACAGTGGGACTCTGTGTATTTCAGACCTCCAGGGCGGAGACCGTGAAAATCACCTCCCTCTGCCCGCTCACAGACCCCCAAAGTACGGACTAATTACCTCCAGCATGTTCCCCTAACAGTGGGACTCTGTGTATTTCAGACCTACAGGGCGGAGACTGTGAAAATCACCTCCCTCTGCCCGCTCACAGACCCCCAAAGTACGGACTAATTACCTCCAGCATGTTCCCCTAACAGTGGGACTCTGTGTATTTCAGACCTCCAGGGCGGAGACCGTGAAAATCACCTCCCTCTGCCCGCTCACAGACCCCCAAAGTACGGACTAATTACCTCCAGCATGTTCCCCTAACAGTGGGACTCTGTGTATTTCAGACCTCCAGGGCGGAGACCGTGAAAATCACCTCCCTCTGCCCGCTCACAGACCCCCAAAGTACGGACTAATTACCTCCAGCATGTTCCCCTAACAGTGGGACTCTGTGTATTTCAGACCTCCAGGGCGGAGACCGTGAAAATCACCTCCCTCTGCCCGCTCACAGAGCCCCCAAGGACGGACTAGAGACCTCCAGCAGCAGTCCCCAACAGTGGGACTCTGCACCTCCAGGAGAGACCAGGGGGAAATCACCTCTCTCTGCCCGCTCACAGAGCCCCCAAGGACGGACTAGGGACCTCCAGCAGCAGTCCCCAACAGTGGGACTCTGCACCTCCAGGAGAGACCAGGGGGAAATCACCTCTCTCTGCCCGCTCACAGAGCCCCAAAGGACGGACTCATGACCACCAGCATGTCCCCATAACAGTGGGACTCTGTGTATTTCAGACCTCCAGGGCGGAGACCGTGAAAATCACCTCCCTCTGCCCGCTCACAGACCCCCAAAGTACGGACTAATTACCTCCAGCATGTTCCCCTAACAGTGGGACTCTGTGTATTTCAGACCTCCAGGGCGGAGACCGTGAAAATCACCTCCGTCTGCCCGCTCACAGACCCCCAAAGTACGGACTAATTACCTCCAGCATGTTCCCCTAACAGTGGGACTCTGTGTATTTCAGACCTCCAGGGCGGAGACCGTGAAAATCACCTCCCTCTGCCCGCTCACAGAGCCCCCAAGGACGGACTAGAGACCTCCAGCAGCAGTCCCCAACAGTGGGACTCTGCACCTCCAGGAGAGACCAGGGGGAAATCACCTCTCTCTGCCCGCTCACAGAGCCCCAAAGGACGGACTCATGACCACCAGCAGCAGTCCCCATAACAGTGGCACCTCCATAACCTTGCACTCACTTCACTTGTCTCACACACACCCAGGGGGAAGAAAGAGGACACATTGGAGCACACATTGACCCAGCAGTAAGTCCTCAAAACGTGGGTAAAGCTGTGTCAAACAGTGGGGTAACATGTTTCAAATGACAGCACGGTGCTGCTTGTTGGCAGGCTGACTCACTTCACATGTCTCACACACACCCAGGGG